ATATAATATAAACATTATATTATATATTACTTACTATAACTAGTATTATACTAGTTAATTAGTTAATTAGCATTCTTGTTACATTTTTCATTATACTAGTTAATTAGTTCATTACCATTATTGTAACATTTTTCATTATACTAGTTAATTACTTAATTAGCATTCTTGTTACATTTTTCATTATACTAGTTAATTAGTTCAATACCATTCTTGTTACATTTTTCATTATACTAGTTAATTAGTTCAATACTTCAATACCATTCTTGTTACATTTTTCATTATACTAATTAAAATACTTCACATTTTATTTAACTAGTTGTTAGTTTGTTACATTTGTCACTATACTAGTTAACTACTTAATTAGCATTGTTGTTACATTTTTACTTGTACTAGTTATTTACTTCAAAAGTTGCTATAATTTTAATTGTAGAGACACACATTAATTCTACTTTGCAAAAAATTAGTTTGAAGTATTAATTAAAATAGTTTTAATTAGTTGCATTAGTTTTGTATCCATTATTATATTTGTTGTGAATTAATATTTGTTACATTTTTTAGATGGAAGGTGGTAGATATTCGGTTGATTTGGGTAACCTCCAACGCAATCGAAGAAACGAGATTGGGAGGAAGAAATCCCGCAAAGGTAAAGAACTTGCCGGGTCTTCATCTCAAAGCCGAGATGATTTTGAAACGGGTTACCAAAGGCGAGATGGAGATGCGATGTCCGAAGAACAACTCCAACAAGAATTGGCCCGACATAATAACCGCTTTCTACAACAACAACAAATGCCGACGACCATTGACGAAGAGGAGCTTGAGGATGAAGATGCGGAGGAATTGGAACCGGAGACGGCCGAGGAGGAGGGTGCCGGCAGCCACGACGCCGACGCGCCTGCCTCATCCCAAACCGCCACCGGTAATAAAAAAAGTAAGTCTGAACTAATGAAAAATAATTTTGATAAATGGAAGGACCCACAAACCGGCTATTGGCACGCAACTTGCAAGTGGTGCAACAACAATTATAGTTTGGGAACCTCCGGCGGATACGGATCCGCCGCAAGGCATCTTATGGCAAAGCACCCCGTGGAGTACGCAAAATTAGGCGGCGGAACGGGGAAGCAAACTCAAATATCGAGGTTTGCGAATTCTCAACCTTTTGGTAATTTCTCCTACAATGATGCACAAAATTTGACTGGTATGGCTAACTTAATTTGTGAAGAAAATTTGTCTTATTTGTTTTCTGAAAGTCTTGCTTTAAGAGATTATGCACAAGGTAGTTTAAATCCTCAATTTAGAAATTATAGTCGCAAAACTGTTAAGAAAGAAATAATAAGGCTTTATAATGCGGAAAAGGAAAGGTTACAAAATTTTTTTGCAAACTTTGATGGGCGTGTTACTATTTGTTCTGACATATGGGAGGATGATTTTCATCATTTATATTATTTGGGTCTGACTGCACATTATATTGATGAGGATTGGAATATGCATAAACGTGTTCTTGCTTTTCGTGAATTTAATGATCGTCACACCGCTGAACATATTTATATTTTGATTGAGCGTATTTTAATTGAGTATAATTTGATTGATAAGGTGTTTGCTATTGGTTTCGATAATGCTACTAATAATACTGCTGCTATACCTAGATTGCGTGAGTTGTGTGGAGCCAATTCTTTGATGGGTAGATTTTTTCATCAACGGTGTGCATGTCATGTTATAAATTTATGTGTGCAAGACGGTTTAAAAGCGTTAGGAGATTCCATGGAGGTAATAAAGGGGGGGGGGGGGGGGGGTTAGACGTATTTGGGGTAATGGTCAACTTAGATTAAAATGGCAAAGTTATTTGACTGAAAGAGGTGTGAGATATGTTGCTTTTCCTAAAGATTTGAGTATTCGTTGGAATAGTACTTATAAATTACTTAAAGTTGTTCTTAGATATAAAGAACATTTTCCTGCTTTTTTAAAAGAACATGATAACTATATTATAAACGCGGCTGAGATCGACACTTGCGAAAAAATTTGTAATGTTTTGATATATTTTTTTAATGCTACTGAAACTTTTAGTCATGTTTATAAACCTACCGCAAACCAATTTATTCCACAAGCTGTTAATCTCGTCGATGCTTTTAAAGAATTTCAAAATGCCGTTTTCGTTCATTATTTTTGTGATTATATGAAGGAAAAGTTTTTAAAATATTATGCGCATATTCCCCATATTTATGGTATTGCATTTATTCTCGATCCTCGTTATAGACTTGCTAATTTGGAAAGTTGTTTCAACTTCTATTATCTTGCGTTTTTCGGTGAATTTCCAATGTATGAGGATAACCCCATAGATCCGAAAACGGAATACAACGAGGTTAGTACTTTATTTTATGCCTTATTTAATGAGTTTCGTTCACAATATGGCAACGCTCCCCCTCCCCCGCCACGAACATCTTCATCTAAAGGAAAATCGATTTTTAAATCTGCATTTGGCAATCTTATGAAAAAAACTAAAACAACTCACGTCACTGAACAAAGCGCATTGAATGAGATTACTTTGTATTTAACATATGAAGTTGATTTTGAAGAAAATGATGACTTCGACGTTCTAGACTGGTGGAAGTCAAAAGAAAGAACGTTCCCGATTTTAGCACGGATGGCTAAGCAAGTACTATCAATGCCGGTTTCAACAGTTGCTGTGGAACAAGAATTTAGTTCGGCCGGCAACGTCCTAACGGCATCTAGATCGAGATTGAGCGCGGAGTCTCTTGAGACGCTTATATGCTACCACGATTGGTTGAAGGCCGCACGTAGAACTCAAGAATTGAGCATCACCCCCTCCCAAGATTTTATGGATGACTCAACAACCGATGGTGGCTCTACCTATGCCGGAGATTCCGATTGATTAGTATTTTAGAATTTAGTACAAAATGTATTTTATAGCACTTGTCAAATTTATTTATACTTGTACTTCATATTTCAAAATTGTAAACTTGTACTTCATATTTCAAAATTGTAAATTTGTAGTTGTAGTTCAAATTAATTTGTAAACTTGTACTTCATATTTCAAATAAATATGTGTTCACTTTTTCATATGTAGCACTTCTCAAATTAATTAATTGGTTACAATCTAACGACTTAAAATTATTTTTCTAAAATATAAAGCCGGTTTTTAAATTAAAAATACATTTAGAATATGTAATTTGTTTAAATACTTATACACCTATTTTGTAACATTTGTTTTAGTTTTACTTAATTCATTAAATTAATTAATTTATTTTACAATATGTGTATAACTTAAAAAAAAAAAAAAAAAAAATTCAAAGCTCCCAAACGGCTATATAGCCGTTGGGGCTGTAGGTGGGGGGCAGGGGGGTCCCGGGGGTGGTGGTGTGGGGAGTGGGGTTCAAAAACACCTACAAATACATCTATTTTCTAACATTTTTCTACACTTTTTCTCCAATTCTTCTCAAACTCTTCTCCATCTTTATCTTCTCTTATTATCCTACATTCCTACTTAATTACTTATAGTGTTATACATATACCATTTTAAATATGGAAAGTACATCTTCTCTTATGCAAAACAATTTTGACAAGTGGAAGGACCCGAAGACCGGACTGTGGTGGGCAACTTGCAGGTGGTGCAAGAAAGACTGTTGCTTGGGGCGTTCATACGGATACGGGATGCCAATAAAACATAGGAAGTTCTGTGACAAAGGGAAAACAACAACCAACGGTGGCGGAAATCCCAATTGATATTCATTACAATTTACAAAATGTATTTCGTATTGTTATTTTTTTCTCAATTCTCAAATGTAGTTCTTATTTCAAATAAATGCACTTGAACTTTGTTTTTAATAGCAATTTGTATAATATATAATTAATATAAAAAAAAAATTATTGACCCGGCCCGGCCCGGCCCGGCCCGGCGGGTGGCCCGACCCGTGACCCGGGCGGGTGACCCGGCCCGAACCGGAACCGGTCATTGACCGGGCCGGTCCCGGGCCTACCCTTATAGGACCCGAGGCCCGACCGGGCCTTGACCCGGCCCGGGCCCGACCCGGCCCGGGTCCATGCCTAGCTCCAAGCAAATATCGACATCCTACTCCACAGTCCGCACGACCGCATCTAATTATCAATTTTGTTATGAAAGGATATATGTTTAAAATATCTTTAAAACATTGACGTAAATAATACTTCGAATGAAATGAATCAGATAAAATACAGAAAAATTATTATAAATAATAGCATTTGAATAATAATTATAAATACGACAGTGCCCATACTAGTCATGGACCCGGTTCGGGCCGCCCGGCCCGGGACCGGCCCGGCCCGCCACTGTGCGGGCCCGGAACCGGCCCGGCCCGCCACTGTGCGGGCCCAGAACCGGCCCGGTTCTCGGGTCCGGGTCGGGCCTAGGCCCGGTGGGGGGGCGGGTCCGGGCTCGGGCCTTGTATTTGACGAACCGGCCCGGCCGGGTCGGGCCCGGGTCCGGGCAAAAATTTGTTTTTTTTTTTCTTTTTCATTTTTTTGGGCTTTATTGAGTTGGGCTTGATGTTTAGGACCGGTTTGGGGGGTGAGGGGGGGGGGGGGAGAAAAGAAAAAAAAAATAAACTAACCGGGTGGCCCGGCCCGGAACCGGACCCGGAATCGGTGGCCACCGGTTCGGGTTCGGGCCCAACAAAACAGACCCGAGGCCCGAACCGGCCCGAGGCCATCCCCATACATGATACATGTCATTCAGATTTAGACTAATGACTAATTACCATTACCAAAATATTTACATAAATGGCTGAAAAACTACATAAAAGTCAAAATTACAGTCTAATAATACATCTACTTTCAAAAGACTAATAATATAAAATGATATCCGCAAGAGTAGAAAACATATTTCAGAAAGGGTCAAAGGGTTAAAGCTCCATATCAATAAAAAGCTTCCAACCCAAAATGCCCAATCAAATTAAGGGGGGGGGGGGGGGGGGGATAGGGGTTTCAATTTCATTCCCTCACACAAAGTATGACCCAAGAGTGAAATTGATAAAATTTAATACTGTAAAATGCACTCCCAAAGAAAAAGCAAGATACAAATGCCAACACATTTGTGATGGACACGAAAGGAGTATGTATTCCCACAATAATGCTACAAGTTCAAAAAAAAAGTTACAAAAACACTTACAAACACTATATGTGCCATGTGTAATTACGGCTGATGAACATGTGATGTGTTAGGAAACATGATCTGAGCAAATGTCATTTGAAAAAAATTATGTCTTCCAGCGACTCTACCTTTATATGTTGAGGTCATAAGCGGATCTTTCTGCTTCGTCGAGGGGACTTTCTCTTCATGAAGATTCTCCTTAGTTCATAGAGAGGATAGCTGGAGCCATAAAAAAGGCCCATCCCATCCTGGCTCTGCTGGTTTCTAGGTGGCCCTAACTTATCATCAGTATAGTTCCTTGTATGTGCTGCGTGCCTTCGGTTGTACTTATGCTTTTTTGCCATCTGCATACAAAAGCAGAGCCCTACAACCTTAATCAAATGTTCATGATATCGAAGTGAACTTCTCAGATCAGAGAACTTTTGTATTTCTGTTGATTCATTAGCACCAAAGTATTTATTGGTGGATATGTATTTAAGTATATTATGTTCTCTTCCATTTTTAAGGGGAAAACACATTCTGGACCTCTAAATGTTTTCAATATATTCTATTGATCCCCTAACCTTTTACTTTGCCTGATTGAGCTCATGTACTTCTTAAAACTATCATATTGAGCCCGTGTAAAGCCCATATTGTTGGATGACGCCAACACAGTATCTATTAAGTACTAGGTACTTAGAAGCTGTTCTCTTCGCCTGATCTGAATGTTTCTGATCTGAATTTTTTAAGTTCTGATCTGATCTGATCTGAATTTTTCTGATCTGATCTGATCTGATCTGAATCTTTCTGATCTGATCTGATCTGATCTGAATCTTTCTGATCTGATCTGATCTGATCTGAATCTTCCTGATCTGATCTGAATGTTTCTGATCTGGTCTGATCTGATCTGAATGTTTCTGATCTGATCTGAATCCTTCTGATCTGATCTGAATCTTTCTGATCTGATCTGATTTGAATATTTCTATGATTATAATTATAATTATAATTATTATAATTGCAATTACAAATATAACTTAAATAAAATTATAATTATAATCGTAACTATACAAATAATAATAATAATTAAAATTAAATTTAAAATGAAAAAAATTATACATATTACACTAATTATAAATATAGATATAATTATAATTGTAATTGTATTTTTAATTATAATTACTTATATAATTATAATTGTAATTATAATTACAATATTTATCTCTATAATTGTAACTATAGTTATCAATATTATTATAATTACTCCGTAAAATAATTACAATAGTAACAATAATAATAATATTAATAATTATAATAAAAATAATAATTATAATCATAAATTATAACTATAATATAATTATAAGTATATTTATAATTAATAATAATTATAATTATATTAACATTAATTATAATATTATAATATAATAATAGTAATATAAATACAATTAATATTATTATAACGATATTATTATATTAATATTATTATTACAATAACATAATAATAATATTATTATTATAATTATTATTATATTATTATAATATTATATTATAATTAAAATTATAATCATAATTATAATTATGATTGTAATTATAATTATTATAATTATAATTAATTACAATTATAATTATAATTAATTATAGATATAATTATAATAATTACAATTGATATACTTATAATTATAAGAATTATAATTGTAAGTATAATTATAATTACATATAATTATAATATAATATTATAATAATATTAATCATATTATTATTATTATAATATTGTAATAATAATAATAGTCTTCTTAATAATTGCATTTATATTACTATTATTATATTAAAATATTATAACTATATTAATATCTTATTTTTTTATCATATTATTATTAATATTATTAATAATAATTATATAATAATAATCATAATACTAATAACAACAATAATAATAATAATAATTAATATAATAATAAAAGTGATAAATCATGTTTGAACTTTTCTGATCTGATCTGATCTGATCTGAATGTTTCTGATCTGATCTGAATGTTTCTGATCTGGTCTGATCTGATCTGAATCTTTCTGATCTGATCTGAATCTTTCTGGTCTGATCTGATCTGATCTGAATCTTTCTGATCTGATCTGATCTGATCTGAATTTTTCTGATCTGATCTGATCTGATCTGAATTTTTCTGATCTGATCTGATCTGAATAAAATAAGAATAAGTAATAAGTAATAAGAATAAGACGAACAGAACAGCACCTTAGTATTTATGTTGTTATGTTTACTCTTATGTTCAAATCAGTTGTCATGAACATGTTAATTAATGATTGTCTTTCAGCAAAAGGAATTGGATGTCTTTGACCAGTTCCTGTTGTGCTTTGTGGTTTATTGCAAGCAATTTTTTAAGAAGACTTAAAATGACTTGATGTGATCAGTTAATCAAAAAGTGTTGCAAGTCATTGACTGCAAAAAAATGTGCAGACTCATTGAGATTTATTATTGAAAAAGCAGTGGCTCAAATAAACCAAATAAAGTGTCAGTGGCACTATAGCATAGTTCAGAAAAGTTTGGAGGCCAAATAAGATGTTATTGTTTTAGAATATGTGTGTGATATGCATGCTCACCTTCATCTTATTGCAGTTGAACCGTTGGACAAAATCCTGATAAATCATCTCCTCCTCTCTTATGGATGTTTCACAGTACCCGTCATCTGGGTCTCTAGTCATTCCATCCCAGCCCTCTGGCATAACTTCAAAGTATTTCTTGAATGGAATGCTAGGAACTTCAAATTCTCTGTCGTGGGAGTTAAAAAATCTGGGGGAGAAGTACAAATTTGTCATCAGCAAAACTGTTGAAGTTTTAAAACAGTGTCCCTGAAATGATTCGAGCACACAATATCTGTCATGAACTTATAAACTAATGATCGCCACAGTATCACCGAGAATTCAATATTTTTCTGCAAATTTCCAAAACAAGCAAATTCTTTGATCTTTTTGCCTATGATATCAATTTTGATCCAAATGGTAGCCATACTTCAAAAATGGTCAAGACTAAGCATTGTCAAAATGTCACATACTCACGTGGACATCCACTCTGTAAAGTTTTCACTCATACATGATCAGTACAAATAGCTCACGGCATAGTATATAAATACACTGACCTGTTGCCAAGGTCACTTTCAAATTTGAAATTGAAGGCCAAATTGGCAACTTTTGATGGAAAATCATGCAATAGGTCGATTTTTTGTCGCGTATACATATGTACAGTATCACATTCAACTGGGGAAAATTGAAGAACCCAGTCACCATCAACATGAACCTCCCCCCCATCATCATATATTGATTAGAGCTACAAATCAGTCAGGAACCCAACCACACACATGCACATGGGGCACATGGGGCACCGGGCACATGAAAGCTTATTAATTCACAATACAAGTGTTATAACAAATGCTGAACCCGCACATAGCAGCTACTAATCTAAGACAAACTGATAGCTACGTGAAAGCTACAACTTCAAGAAGTCTCCTATGTTTAAGACTCCCATCAATGACAATCAATAAAGCCAAGAGATTCAATAGGCTGTAATCTGATATCTTGTGCACAGTGTGCACTTGGTTTTGTGTGTTTAGCTGTTAAAAAAAGAACCACAATCTGAAATCAATGACGTAAATGAAGCTAAGAGGTTTAATATGATGGTATGTGGTATCTGGATTCACACACTTTCGTATTTAATGCGAGAGTATGCTGCTGGAAAATTAATCAAAATGTCAGCATGTTGGTACATCGTAAACTATAAAGCATCAAAACTCAAAACCATCAGAATGTCAACATGTTGCAGAAAATTCAAAACAACAACCAAATAAACCAAACCTAAAAAATGAATAGGGTCAACCATCCATCAAATATCATATGAAACAAGAAGAAATAATTAGCTTACTCGGGGCAAGTATCAAGCAAGATGTCAATTGAATCATCCCGTGGACATGCAAGCTTCTTCTCTTCCTCCTCCTCCAACTCTTTCAACCATAGAATGGCATGCACCCTCTGCCTCAGGATCCCATATTCCTTTGCAAGACTTTCAACCGTGTATACATCAGGATTTTCCTTGTGCTTCTTGTACATTTCTGTTTTTTGAGAATCCTTCAAAAACACCCTTGGCTTCCTCACCTGTTCCAACAGCCACACCACTCCTCATTGCTCTCTTTTTATTTTACTTCTAGTTTTGGATGAAAAAGATCACATTTTAAAAAAAATCACATTTCTTCTTCTTTTTGAGCCATTAACTATGTTGCTTCAAAGTGTGTTCAAGAAGATACTAAAATGCAGTTTTCTTTTTTAAACTGGATTTTTTTTCTAAAAGCTTATCCAGTAACAGAAGGAAGAGTGGAAGATAATTAAGCATGAAATGAAAGATTAGAAACACACCTGCTTCACTGAAAATTTCATCTCTCTCATACTCTTATCTGCAAAGGCCTTGCCGCTGAGATTTTCCTCCCTCAGTTGCTTAACCATATTCAACTCCTCATCCGTCCAACGGGTCGACCCGGAAATAGTGTTCGGGGGTTTTGTGTCTGGCCCAATTTTTCGACCCACGATCTCTCCGTCGAAGTGCTCCTTCGTTAGCCCGGTGGACCAGAAGGATGACTGCGCATCCCAATCAAATACGTCGGTGGAACCAGAATCTCCGAAATGGGAGCTCCAACTGGATTCCGTATCGATCCCGGAAGAGAATGGCCTGAAGGAGGAGAAAAGACTAACGCTTATGGGCTTGGCAAGAAGATGAGTACGTATTAACCGTTGAAGAGCTCGCATTTCTATGCTAGAAACAGGTATTAGGCTATAACTCTTTGCAGGGGCATAGCCAGAACCGATGTTTACCCTGGGCCAATTATACACTAAAAACATTATATAAAAATTTTAAAAGCGATAATAGTGTGAACATAATGATTAAAATGCATTAAAATTCATAGTAATATTTTTAAACAATACACAATGTTTGAAACAATATGCGACGCTCATTGACCTTAGCAAACTCATCTATGACAGACTCAACGTCGATTTTGTTGGCACATTAATTTCATTGAACCAATTGGCTTGAAAACGACGTATCCTATTTTTGTAAACTCGGCCTTTGAAAAAGTTCAATTTTCGGTTGATAAGGTCCAAGCATCAAATAAGATCGTCTAATTTCATCTCTTTTCTCTAACCGCCAATCACTTATCATTTTGTATTTTAATTGATCGGAAATTACTTTGTGTGCTTGTACTAGACTCATAAAACGAACTCAATGTGATTTTTGCCTTTTTGAAAGTAGATTAAGTAGCCATACTTACTAAAATTATATAAAAAAAAAACTAATCAATATTTTAATTAATTCATATAATTCATATTAATATTTAAAAAATTCACAAATAACATTTGACATTCCTAATTCTCCATTTTACAATTCAAATCACACATTTACACAAATCAATTGTGACACACTAATAAATAACACAAACTAATTTAACAAATAAAATACTTGAATAACCTAAAAATTGTAAAAACAAATAAATAAAAAAACCTTACCTCTGCGGCTCTGCTTGAAGCAACGACCTTGAAGAGAGGAAAAGCAGCTTCCGGCTTCTGGAGTCCAAGAGAGAAGAAGATAGCCATCGCCGGTCAAGCACTCAGGTCCAAGCAACGTCTCTGCACTCAAGCCATACCGAGCATCTTAGGGTGCGACTGGCGACCGGCGATTAGGCGAGTCGACGAGTTGACGACGTCCGGCGATTAGGCGGTGCTGGATGAGCCGCTGAGGCGTGCGCGGTGCGTCAGCTTCGTCCGTCCGTGATTTTTGGATTGCGCTGGGGCGCTGCACTTCTTTTCATTAAGTTGGAGCTGAACTGATTTTTTTTACACTGGGCCATAATACTCATACCCTGGGCCAGTTTAACTTTTACACTGGGCAAACTTATAAAAACAACCTAAAAACAAATTTAAACTATATACGAGTATATAATTTTAAAAAAAAATTGCATTTTGGGAACTTGGGAAGTATGAGGAGTCCCAACTCCCAAGGGTTTGAGATTTATGCATTTTGGACAGTTCTAGGAAATTTAGGGCAAACATTTTTAATGGAAAATCGAATGGAAAACCATTTCAATTAATTTCAATATAGAAAGAATTCTAGACCCATTTTGCAAAATAAATAAATCGGGTAATGATACAAAAAAATAAGGTTGAAGACAATTTTTTTCTTTTTTTGGTTGCATTGGTTAGATTTATTGTAGAAGATCATTTTAACTATTTATAAAAATATTTTACATAAATTTATCGCAATTCAAAAGTTATAATCAATTCAACCACTTCAGTCAATGTTTTCTGGGCAAATTTATACATTACTCAATTAACTTACATGGCTAAATGTAGGTTATTTTATAGGGAAAGTTCCCGAAATAGGTCTAAAACAGTCTGAAAATTTCAAAATAGGACTGCCATGTTTTTTATTCCCAAAATAGGAGTAATTACTGCCAAGTTTGGAAAATACTGTCATGTTTGAAGTCTGATACTGCCAAAACATAGCAATAATTATTCCTATTTTGGAATTTACAAATCATTTTAGTCCTATTTTGGGTAAATTCTCTATTAAAAGGACCGTTGGAAAAATAAATTTCCATTTTAGTCACGGCATTAGTCACGGACATGTCCGTGACTAAGTGCCGGAGTATAATAAAATCAACCGGAAAAGGAAGTCCGGTCACTGGAGAACCTTAGTCACGGACTAAGGCCGTGACTACGTTTAGTCACGGATTTAGTCACGGACAAATCCGTGACTAACTTTATTTTTAACAATCCGTGACTAGTCCGTGAGTACAACCGTGACTACTTAGTCACGGACCGGATCCGTGACTAAAATCCGTGACTAAACGCGTGTTTTTTTGTAGTGAACGGTAAGGGTTGGTTTGCAACTGCTTTTAAAAAAGCACTTCTCAGCTTTTGGCTTTAAAAAAGCATTTATTTTCCCAAACACTACAACTTTTATTTTTCTCGGCTTCCGCATCAAAAGTGCTTTTACTTTTTCTATTACACAAAAAGCACTTATTTTACCAAACACTACCCACTTTTACTTTTCAAAATCACTTTTTTCTCAAACACTATCAACTTTTATTTAATCACTTCTCCCCATTTCATTAAAAAAAACATTTTTTTAAAAGCAGAAGCTGTTGCAAACAGACCCTAAAACTTGTTGTCGTGCCAACTTTAAACGGGACATAATTAATGTAACCGGATGTAATGGACGTTTGTATTGGTCGGATGATGGCACGGAATATGCCGTGGCAACCTTTGGCACGGACTGCCGTTTTTTTTGGACATTTTGCGTGCCAATTGCTGTTCCAAGTGTGGCAGGGAATTTTACCGTCCCAACAGTCAATGCCAAAAACACGTTTTTGTAGTAGAGATATTAATGTTGATATATGCATTGTTTATTGCCTTAGAGAAATGTTGCAACTAATTAATTTGAAACCTTCCAGAAAAGGTAAATGTTACAACTAAAAAAGAATAGAGAATAGTTTGAGATACAATATGAATTTATTTCTAATTGTCTTGATAACAATGAATGAGGAGAGGATAATATATGTATATATATTCAAAAATGAAATTGTAATAATTTTTTAATATTTTCAAAAACACGGCTATAATTTTTAATATTTATAAACACACCCCATAACTTCTAATATTTACAAATATACCCCCTTGTCCATATCTAAGTTTTTTTAGTTTTATCGTACTCCGATACCCGTTTCCGCGTTTTTGTATCGGTGCTACATAGGGTCAAACTTTTGAAATTGGGCATGTTTGACGCCTAAATGCCTAATATCTGTGCATTATTAATAAATAGTTCACAATTGCAATCATGTCCTACCAATTGTTCCGTATTAACTATAGGGGATTGATGTTTTTTTTAATCACAATGATTATTGCATAAAATTGTTACCATAATTAATTCATGGTTTAAATAGAGTTCGTATACCGTGGTATCATCCCACAGTGAGCATCGTGCTCCCACACTCCAAAACGACGTAGTTTTGCACAATTTTTTAAAAAATCGTGTGAACAGTAACGTGTGAACAGTACACGCGTGTACTGTAACCGTTTTTTGTCACAGTAGTATGAACGATGTAATTCGCGTGTAAAGATATGTAACTCACGTCCATTCGAAATGTAACTTATCAAATACATACTATAAGAAATAAAACATTGATTTCAATGCAAACAATGGGAAAAAAGAGTCTAACTACACAGTTACTTTACGTAAACCGTGAATATGTTTTGTTTTTAATATCATGACCATCATAAGGATTTTAAAAAAATCATTTATTATTTTTTTTCAATAGCAGGGGTTATTTTTTTTTATGTAACTCATGTTATTACAAATGTAACTCGCCTTGATAACAAATGTAACTTGCGCTTTAGAAGATGTAACCCGCTTATAAAATAAAGTAACTCAGGCATAAAAATATGTAACTCGCGCATGAGGTGTAACTCAAATATAACTTCAGGAATCATGTATATATGTAACTCACATATATGAAAATGTAAATCACACACATGAAAATTTAATCACCTGTTTTATCATATGTAAATAGAAATTAACAAACTCTATGTCTTAAAAAACACTAAAAACCTATAAAAGAGAGATAGATTTTTTCAGAAATATATTATATAAAAAAGTAATTGTAATCATATTTTTAATATTTTAATAAAGGAGATGAACAAAATTGAAAAAGAAAAGAATTAAAAAGAAGAAGAAAGAGAATTAGATCAGAAAGCAGGCAAGAGAAAAGAAAGTGGGAGCAGGGAAGGAAACGTTAGTGGAAGCACGGGCATGGTGCAGAAGAATAAAAAAACGGGAGGAAGCCCTAGTCGGTGCTTGAAAAAAAGGCATTAATGGGTTCGGCACACCATGCACATGGTGTGTCGATCCCATGATATAATTTGCGGTTTAAATATGTTTTAGTCTCTGCAAATATCGTACATTTTGTTTTACATCTCTGCAATTTTTTTTTGTTCCTACCATTAATGTTGATTTTCTTTTTAGTCCATCACTGATGATAACAACCTCCACTTGACCTCAAAATAACCCTGATTAATAGTTTTTAAAATGCATTCAAAATGTTACTTTATTTTATTTTTAAAATGTATTCAAAATGTGATTCAAAATGTATTTTATTTTATTTTTTTGAATGTTTTTAATATATATTTTTAAAAATGTGAATACTCAGTTTTACATTATTTTAACTCTCACATTAGCCTAAAAAAATATAAAAGGACAAATTTAAATATTTCCACCAGATTTATGGAGCTGACAACAAGTTTTTTTCGGAAGTAGAGTGATTTTGGAATTAGAGAAGGACTAAAAACAAAATAGTGCATTTGCAGGGATGAAAAACAAAAAAATATTTTGCAGGGACCTAAAACAAAGTGTGTCATATTTGCAGAAACTAAAATTGTATTTTTAAGCCTTAAATTAATTCATTTTGGCAAATATGATGAGATATTACTTGGACCACAGCTCCATTCACTCGCTATTGTGAGAATAATAAACAAGCTTAACCAGACCGTGTAGGGTTCTCATCAGACTGGTAGCCCTGAGAGTATATTTATAATGAAAGAGTTACCAAATACAAATAGGAAATTGACTAATAATTAATTCTACACTATTACACCCCCTCAATCTATGCAGGAGGAACAATGCGTAGATTGTCTCGTAAAAATAAAAACTGTTGAGGAACCAAACTCTTGGTGAAAATATCAGCTAGCTGAAACTTCGTAGGAACATACTGAACTAGGAGATCACCATGAGCTACACGTTCCCGAACAAAGTGGTAATCAATATCAATGTGCTTGCTTCGAGCATGCTGGATGGGATTTGCAGATAAATATGAAGCAGATACATTATCACATAACAATCAAACCGGGCGATGAATAGGAAAACCGAGCTCAAATAGGATGGAACGAATGTGTAATGTATCCTGAACTGTGTATGCAATGGCGCGGTACTCAGCTTCTGTAGATGATCGAGAGACAGTGGGTTGTTTCTTGGACCGCCAAGAAATCAAATTAGGACCAAGAAAAATAGCATAACCAGATGTAGATCTACTACTATCAGGATAACCAGCCCAATCAGCATCAGAATAGGCCAGAACAGAATGCGGATGAGTGGATGGCTGGAGATGTAATCCGTGATTAAGTGTGCCCTGAAGGTACCTGAAAATTCTCTTAACAGCCAACATATGTGAAGTACGGGGAGCATGCATAAACTGAGACACCAAGTGAACAACATATGTAATATCAGGTCTAGTCATAGTCAAATACTGCAATGCACCTTCCATACTACGACACTCCATACTCCATAGCATCAGCAAGTAACTCACCATCAGTGAGAGACAACTTAGTTCTACTAGGTAATGGCGTGCGAACAGACTTAAACGTGTGAATATGGAAGCGGGTAAGAATATCTGACACATATTTGGCCTGAGATAAAAATAAACCAGAGGAATTTCGCACAGCCTGAAGATCTGACACATATTTGCCCGGTGTAGCAGGCTGCCGCTTGTTGCTTTCCGGCGTGGTAAGCTGTGAGCCGTCTGTATCCAGTGCCCGCGAGAGGTGCACTGGTGATGCTGATGCACATGTGTCCGAATGAAAATCCTCTGGGGGCAATAATGGAGCAGTAGCAGTTGACAAAGGCGTGGAGGAACAGAAAAGGGAGAGCGGACATGGCTGGAAAGATGACAACTCGGTAGACTAAGAAGATACAAGGTCGGAATAAGGAAAAATATTTTAATGAAACCGGACATGGCGACTGATATAAATTTTACCAGTCCGAGGATCAAGACAACGATATCCTTTATACTCAGAAGCATATCCTAGAAAAACACACTAAACAGACCTAGGAGAAAGTTTATTTGCTGAAGTGGCAGTAAAATTAGGATAACAAGCACATCCAAACACACGCATAAAAGAGAAGTCAGGGGTCTGGTGAAATAATTTTTTATATGGAGAAAAACCAGTAAATTTTGTGGAAGGTAAGCGATTAATAATATAAGCAGCAGTTAAAATAGCCTCAACCCAAAAAATGGCCGGCAGACCAGCGTCAATCAGCATAATTCGCGCTAACTCAAGTAAATGACGATGTTTGCGTTCAGCTAAACCATTCTGTTGAGGAGTGTCAGGACAAGATTTTCTAAAAAGAATTCCATTAGAATTAAAAAATGACCGCACACTTAAATTATCGAACTCACCCCTTCCATCACATTGAAAAATTTTAATTTTATGGTCCAATAAATTTTCCACCAGACACTTGAAAGATTTAAAATGAGTAATGACTTCACTTTTACGACACATGAGATATATCCATGTAAAACGAGAAAAATCATCAACAAAAAAGACATAATATTTAAAGCTAGAAGATGATAAAATTGGAGACTGCCAAACATCAAAATGTATTAAAAATAAAGGTTTAATAGGACTATGAAAAACATCTTGAAATGGTAATCTCTGCGATTTACCGAAACGACACGATGAACAATCATGATTAAAAGAAGATAAACTACATAGTTGACCCGACTTCTTAAGACCATCTAAAACTCTACTGCCACAATGTCCCAAGCGACGATGCCACAGTGGTCCAGGCGCCGCGCTAGAAACTAAAGCCAAAATTGGAGATGGAGACAGACGAATGGGATAGAGACCAGATCTGCTACTGGAAGCCTGAAGAAGAGTTGCCCCGTGGTTTTGTCCTTTAGAAAAACAGAGTTTTTATCAAAAATCACCATGCAATTATTGTCAGAACATAGCTTTTGAAAAGATAATAAATTATATTTAATTTGAGGAACATGATAAAAAGATTTTAAATGAAGAGGACGCGGCAGGGAATTAATGGAAATATTGCCAATATTTTTAATGGGTAAATTCGTGCCATTAGCAACAGTAACAGTGAGTGGCCTGGAATAAGCAGATTTATTAACTAATGTACCTTCTTGAGGAGTCATATGTGCAGAAGCACCGGAGTCAAGGAATCAGACAGCGTCATTAGTATCACCCATGGGTGCAGCAAGAGCAGGAGCAGATGGCTGGGAAAAACGAGATGGACAAGAGGCAGCAGAATGACCAGGTGAAAAGCAAATTTGACAAACAACCGGCGGGGGAATAGAACCAAACTGTCCATCAAGTAAAGGTGAGCCTGCATAGCTATGATTAGTACTAGTAATAAAATAGGGATGCGTATGTAACGATGAAAAAACCGTATTACATATAACTGAATCTGGACGTCCATGAGAAGGAGCTGTCGGATGACAAGCTTGCGGCTGAAAATACCCCCTTGGAGCTGCTGCCCAGGCTGTGGCTGGTAGAAGCCAGGCTGCTGACCGTATCCAGGTGCCCCGTACGCCGGCGGGTTCTACTGTCCATAGCCCCGTCCTCGGTCGCAAGTGCCTCTACCACGCTGTCCATGTTGTCCTCGTCCTCGATTGTACTTATTGCCACGTCTTGGATCCTGGCCAGGAGCTGCCAGGGCTGCGGGTTGAGCAACAAAGGCAGCGGGTGATGGTTGCTCCTGAGATCGAAGATAAATAAGGCGTTGCTCTTGCTCCACTAGCCGCCTCCTTAGTTTGTCAAAAGTGAGTCCCTCCGGAAAAGAAGTTAATGTGGTAATTATAGACTCATAATCCGGACCAAGACCAATGAGTGTTTGCTCAATGATATCTTTCAGGGAGACCGGTGAATTAATCGTGGCAAGGGCATCAGTAATTTTCTGAATTTCAAGCATATATTGCTCCATGGTTTGATTTTCCTTCTTTTTAATAGTATTGAACATGCGGTTTAATTCCATGGAACGAGCCATGCTGGCAGCCATAAATCTAGATTCGAGTCGGTCCCAGATGGTAGCAGAAGTTTGAACAGTGTGAACTTCAACAAGTATATCACGGGATAAAGTAGTAAACAACCAAGAACGAACTGTTTGGTCTAGTTTTAACAAATAATAATATTCATTGTTCACAACCTCACTATGATTAGCATAAAAAATATATTGAGGAGGAGCAGGAATAATACCATCTAGGATGCCCATAAGACCATGAGAAACAAAAAAGGATTCAAATTGGGTGCGCCAGGGTAGACAATCTTCAACTGTATCAAGCTTGGTGGTAACGATGTTTGTAATATTGGGAGCCGAAAAGCCCATAACTTGTGCAATAGCCTCCAAAGAATCGGTACGTGCTGTTTCCGGCCGACCTATCAGTGTAACCGTAGGTGGCGGCGCCAAACCTTGCGTTCCAGAAAAAGTGGGACCGCCAAAAACCGTCCGGGAGGAGGAGGATGCCGGAACCGTCCGTGTGGCTGAGGTTTGACCGGATGAACGATTGGTAATAGCCGGAGATGACCAATCGAACACCGGTGGAACCCAAACCGAGGCATCGAAAGTCGAACTACTCATCGGAAACGGTGCTGAAACCCGCGGCTGCAAGACGGAGGACGTCGAGCCAAACAATAGAGAGAACGGAGCAGATGTAGTGGAAAACGCTGCCGGCATGGTGACGGAGAAGGGCGCTGCCGTGAAGAGAGGCGCTGTCGTGGTCTGAGTCTGTGCGGCTGTGCTGGTCATCTCGACCGTCGTTATCGGCGCGATGGTGATGGTGGTTTGCCCAGCGGAAATTGACCAATAATTAATTGACTAATAATTAATTCTACACTATTAGCTATGGTTATGAGCCATGCCAGATTAATTTACATCTATGAAGCACGGATACTTCGCTAGGGTAGCGTATCGGCGTATCCGATACGTTCCCGTATCCGATACTCTAGGATACCCGTACCGTACGTTCCCGGGCCGTATCTGCAATTTTTAAAAGTTTCCATTTTTTTTTTGTAATTTTTTGAAAGTTTCCGATACTCGTATCCTGAAGGATACCCGTATCAACTTTTTTTTAAAAAAAATCCCAAAATTTACTTAATAAAATTCTAAAAAAATGAAAATCTAAAACTGCATTTTACTTGATAATCAAATAATGGGCCTATATGGCTATATCCGAATTAAGTCATTAACTCATACTCCGAATTGGATACTTGCACTTTTAATTTCAAGATTGTACTTGACTTATTTCTCATTTTAAATTAATGACTTATTGACTACATTTATATTTCGAGATGCACTAGTGTATATGAGAAATATTATGAATTTATTACTAAGTATCTTTAAAAAGGAAAATGCTTCAATGCAATGAATGAGTAGACATTATATATATGTATATACATATATATATTTTCAAAAAAAAACTATTTTTAATATTTATAAATAGACCCCTATAACTTTTAATATTTGTAAATACACCCCCATAACTTTTAATATTTATAAATATGGCCCCGTATCCGTATCCTACTTTTTTTGGTTTTGACGTATCCCCGTACCCGTTTCCGCGTTTCCGCGTTTCCGCGTACCAGTATCGGTGCTACATAGATTTACATCCCAAGGAAAATACGGAAATACCGGATGCAAGTTGAAAACCGCGTGAATCCATTGGAGTAAGAAATCCATACAGATTAATACTTACAAACACATAAGTCGACTCCATTATTGTTATTTATTGAGCTAAGCACAATCTCACTATTTTGTTTTCATTTAAGAATAGAAAAACTAATTAAATTAAAGGCTCCATTTTGTGGTAGACTACCTAATCCAGCTCTTTCTGGACCTTGATCCCCATTGAGTTGGCAGTGCCAATAATAGACTTAGAAATGGACTCGAGAGAGATATACTGACAAAAGGGATCACCTTGTTTGACCTTTGCAATTTCATATACATGCTTTAGGGTTACCGTAGAGGCGGTCACGTGACCAGGGAGGCGGCTGCCGCGCTCCACCCCCGCCGCCTGCTTCAGGTACCAAGTGACTGGCGGAGATTTCAACGTGAATTCGAAGGTTCTGTCCTTGAAAACCGTTACCGTAACGGACATAGGCGTTCCAGGCTTGTATTTCTGAGTACGGGCATTGAATTCCTTGCAGAAAGCCATGATGTTCAGATTGTGAAACCCTAAAGCCGTTGTTGACGGTCCCGGCTTCGCAACGCCGGCGCCGACCCTAAGTCGGATCGTCGCAGCCAACGGGCGCCGAGTCAAGATCTCCTTCAACGTCGCCATATTGTTCCAGCAGCACTTGTTTTCGGATTCCTCAAAAAGATTTAAGGGTTTTTAGGTTGTTACGTTCGGCCACCTCATGATATATATACACCATATACTACGTATGGGCTTACTTGAACAAAAAGATACTCCCTATTATATATTAGTAGTAAAGGAAAAACCCTTAAGTTACAAATGAAGTTTATGATTTCTTGTCATGTAAGAAAAAGTACTATTGTACATAATTAATTAAGATAGATGAACAAAACGGGAAAAAACATACTAGCATGTTTCTTTTCTTTAAGCACGAATGGAGTATACTCCAGATAATAATGTATAGAAATAAAATGTACGGAGTACTACTATACTCCATCAAAATAGTAAAGAACTAATTTTCCGCTATAAATTCGATAACTAATAATCTACCAAAAGTACGTGAATTGATCACAATTAAACTAACTTTTATCTTTTCGTTAGATACTTGAATTAGTTGAATATCAATTTCTTAAATATTATGATTGACCGACGAATGGCAGTATTTTTATATATGGTTGTTTGCTCTTAAGATTATTATATTATTAATTTGGGACTGTCATGTATCCATTCAAATGGAAGTTTTTCGTTAAGGATGTTTTTACTTGGACTGTAATTTGCTGGTCTGGTCTGGTCTGATCTGTTCTGGTCTGGTCTGGTCTGAACTGGTCTGGTCTGGTCTGGTAAGGTCTGGTTTCTTTGTATTTTTATAACTATCCAAGTCTGGTCTGGTCTGGTCTGAACTGGTCTGGTCTGGTCTGGACTGGTCTGGTCTGTTCTGGTCTGGGACAAATTACAGTCCAAGTAAAAACATCCTAAAACTTAAAGTAAAGTTAGAGTTTGATGAATGGATTGGTTGGTTTGCTAATTAAGAGATCTATTTAGCTATTTTGCATATACCTCCGCCCCTTAAAACTTTGTCATATTTCCTTTTTCGGACATTGACGTGCACTTGTCGTGATGTGCACTCAAAATAATTATACAATACAACAATTATACGTAGTATAACGAAGTAAGGTTCGTATCCGCAGGGAAAGGAATACTTCTCTTTTTAATTAACTAGTAACAAAGGGGGGGGTTCAGGTTTGAGTGATTTAATTAAAATTAAACACGAAGATGAACGAGTTATGTGGTTTACTTTAATAGAGATGGAGGCTTGGTTTTGCTTTTATCCACTTAACGAAATGTTCGTCGATCCCGGTTATATCTTTAACTATCTTCCTCTCGAATACTCAATCGAGGAGTATATCCAGTTCATCGAGGGTAGTTATTAATAACGAGATGCGTTCATTAATAAAACTTACTATCGAGGCAATATAGAACAAGCGCCGTATATTAACTTGATAGTAGCAATAAACTTAAGATGAAAACGATTGAGATTGATAACCTCAACACAAGCGGTTTATTGGTTTAATCAATATAATTAATTCCTCTTGGTTTATTAACCATGAGAAGCATGCATTAACAATCCAAGTTTACTACCATTGAAAGAACCGAATTAATAACAAGCGTATTAACCGATTGATTCTAGTAATAATTAATATATGAAACAAAACTAGTTGATCCTTTAAGTAATGTTCAAAATATTAATATGAAATATGAATAGGAATTAATTAATATTCAAGGAAGAATATTAAAGAAGATGAATCCTACTATAGTTAATATCAAGATGTTAACTAATTGTCATCTTAGTAACACTCCCCAATATTAACATAGAGGAAGAAATAGCTATTACTATAACTAATGTCAAGATGTTAACTAATTGTCATCTTAGTAACACTCCCCAACATTGATATAGAAATAGTATTTAAAGGAAGAATTAATATTCAAGGAAGAAGATTAAAGAGAATAACTCACAACTTACAAATTCATTAAGCTTCAAAGTAGCAAAACCAAGATGGAAGAGTTTAGCTCCTCATTTGGAGACTAAACATGATAAAAATATAAAGAAATAATTTGTTTAAACTGAGCTTAGAAGTATATAGGAATTGGTACTTTATTGTGAAGAAAATGGGGTGTATTTATAGGTTTTTTAGGCCTGCAGGGTTGTGTACCCGATCGGGTATATAGGGTACTCGACCGGGCCTTCAGTTGCTTCGCAGAAGCTGGGAAAACATGGACATACCCGATCGGGTATGTCGGCTACCCGATCGGGTATAGACACTCGATCGTGGTTAAAATCTTCCCTGCACGTTGCCTTGTTCGCAGATTTATCCGATTTGATTTTTCAGCAACTTACCCGATCGGGTATAGGTCATACCCGATCGGGTACAAGACCAAAAATCAGGATCTTCATTTTTTCTTGGAGTTTTTGCACCTTCTTTCCACTTGTGATGTTCACCATTGGTCCCTAAAGTGTTCTTGGACCTGTGTGAGCTCAGAATGAACCTAATCTAAACAAATTACAAATATTTTATAGATTAAACTATTACACCAAAAGTGTGTAATTACCAAAGTAATAATCAATCTAAACTAATTAAAAACACAAACATAAACATGGAAATTACATGAATGTCAACTCCCCCACACTTAGTTTCTTTACTCGACCTCGAGTAAAACCAAATGTTTACATAATGTTTATCACAAGATGATGAGTTCATAGAGAGGAAGAAATAAGAAACTAAAACCACCAAGTATTGTGAATGAGTTTACAAAACAACATTTCCTTGGGTTTAATGGTCTTCTATGCTTCCTATTTCTTCTTTTTCTCATCTTTTTCTCCTTCTTCTTCTTCTTCTTCTTCTTCTTCTTCTTCTTCAAGAGATAGTGTCCTGCAAAATAAAACAAATTTTTCTCTCATATCTCTCATTTTGCCTAGGAGCCTTTCCAGGTTTTCATCCTAGCATCTCCTTTCTTTTCTTTTCCTTACCACTCACTCATCATTTTTTTGTAAGCCCTTGTTGCTTAGATTGCCCTTTTGGGTTTTCAACCTAACTAGCATTTCATTTTTTTTTTGAACACATAATACTAGAAAGTAATGCTTAGTACAAGGTAAAAACAAAAGGAGTGTACATACCAAGAGATGGATCTCCCTCCCCCACACTTGAATCATGGCACTATCCCAAGTGCCCGCCTTCTCCACCATAATAGCTCCCTCCAAAGCCACTCCCGTGCATGTCATCACCGCCTCCCTCGCCCATGGTAGTATCCCCACCATCATAGCCACCACCACCGGAACTAGAGCCGCTAAAATTACCCCAATCGGAGGGGTTATACCAAGAAGGTGCTGGTGGTGGTGAGGCCATGGATGCAAATCCGCCAAGGTGGGACATGTATGAATATGCGGGCCCATACATCCTCCGGTAGTCCTCTTCATACCTTTGCATGTCGGCCACCCTTTGCTCCTCCATCCTTTGGAATGCCGATTGTTGTTTGGTCCGGAAAGCATCAAATTGTCGGTCTCTTGCTTGTTGCTCCGCCCGGTATTGGCCTATCTCCTCTTGAAGTTGGCCAAATTGCCCTCCCATCTTTGTGTAATCGAGGCTCATTGTTTGGAAACCGGCTAGGACGGATTGTTGACCCGCCAAGAGTTGTTGGAAGAAGTCTTGTGGTGGCGGGTTTTGGGGGAGGTCGGGGATATCATGTTGGACATGTTCATATCCCTCTTGGTGCTCGGGTTGCTCCGGTTGGTTGTCGGGTTGAAGCTCGGGTTGTTGTTCGGCTTGGTTGGCTTGAGGTTGGAGGTGTGGTGGGATGTTGTTAGGGAGGAGATAGTGCGGGATGTCAAAGGGCTCCATTCTATACCTAAGTCTAGGTAATTCGTCGCAAGGGAGGGGGAAGTATTTGACCGGTTCGGGGTATTTCATGTGCCATCTATAGCGTTGGGTTCCATTGTGGTCTTTATTACCCAAAGAGATCAATTGTGCATTGGATAACTATCCAAGATGCATTAATGAATCTCTAGAAATTGTGGCATTATCCACATAGCCAAATTTGGAAGCCAAATGCATGATGACTCCACCTAAGACAATGTTCCCCCCTTTGATGATAGCCTTCTCTAGATGATCCCATATTAAGTTGCAAATGTTGAACTCAACGGGATTGCGGAAAAGAGCAAGAGTGAGAATGGCTACATCCCCTATCCGAGTGTGGTGGTTGTTGGGGCGGCCAAGCAAAGAGTTGCACAAAAATTTGAGGAAAATCCGGAGAAGAGGATGTTGCACGTGACTAATGTATAGTTGAGACGTGCTAAAATTCCGTTCTCCGGTCATTTTGCCCCATAGGTTGTATGCATCCATTGTATTGTCCGGGATTTCCCTCTCATGTGGGAATCGGAGCCCAAAATGCTCGGCAAAATCACGTCTCGTTATAGTGTGTTCGGTGTTCATCAACCGAAACGTGATTGTGTCATCATAAAAATGATTTTCATCCAACACAAACTTGGCCGAGCTCAAGAATTCATATATGACCCTCTCATTACAATTATATTGCAAGTTAAAAATCAAAGCCATATGCAATTCATCAAATAGCTCTCTCATGCCATCCAACAAACCTAGATAAGTAAGAGCTTCGTGGCATAAAAAACGAGAGGGGATGACTTGCCTTTTTAGTATAGCCACAAATCTCTTGCGATGATCTCCCGGGCCAAATTGAACATCCTCATAGCCTCGAATAGGTCCCCTTGTGTTGGAGCTCTCCGATTGGTTCCTCTTTGGTGCCATTGTTGAGCAAATTGAGAGCTTGAATCCGGACTTGGGGTTTGAGGGGTAGGGTTTCGGTTCTTTAGAAATAGGGAGAGGAGGAAGAATTAATTGGTATGAGGTTGTAGAGGGGAGTGAGGGGAGTGTTTTGGTGGTGGTATGAGGGAATTTGGTTGAGTATTGAGGGAGATATGGGAGTTTGAAGGTGCGAAAATGGTGGATTTGGGAGAGGGAGTTCGAAATTTGGGATTTGGGGAAGATGAAGTGGTTGATTTCGGCTTCTGTTTCACGTTTAAACTTCGTGTACCCCATCGGGTACCCCGATTACTCGATTGGGTATGCCTCGGTTTGTTCTTGTTTCGGGATCGGGCTCGATCGAGTATACCCCGTACTCGATCGAGTTTTCTTCACCGTAGGATTTTCCGTAA